AATATTTACAGATATTTTGGATTTCCGTTCATTCATTGTTGCATTTTTCTCCCTGCCCACCCCTCCCCCCTAGTTTGCTCTTCTCTTTGAAAAGTAAAAGAAAAATTCCTTCATTGGTATACAGTGCCCCACCCTGCCTCCATGTACAATCCACTATGCAGCCTTCATTCTGGACACTTATCATAACCATAATACCCAATCATATATCACTTTTAAACTGTTCTCTCCCTCATCTGTTTCAATGCAGTATACATAATTTATCTACTTTTTCTCAGTCTCACCCCAACCCAGATGTCAGTCCCATTCTACAACAGTGGCCCTATGCAGTATTTGTCCTTCTGTAACTGAGATATTTCACTCAGCATAATGTCCTCCACAGTCACCCATTGGGTATAATATTGCATGAGTTCCTTGTTTTTCAATGCAGCATATTGTTCCATTGTGTGAATATACCAGAGCTTCTCTATCCATTTGTTTGTTGATGGGCACTTAGGTTGTTTCCAAATCTCTGCTATTGTGAACAAAGCCGCAATAAACATGGGTGTGCATATATCTGCCTTGTTGGCAGTTATGGTTTCTTTAGGGTATATTCCCAGCAGAGGAACTGCTGTGTTAAATGGTATTTCTATTTGCAACTTTTTGAGAAAGCGTCATACAGCTTTCCATAGTGGTTACACCATTTTACACTCCCACCAACAGTGAATAAGGGTTCCAGTTTCTCCACAACTTTGCCAGCATTTGTTGTTTGCTGCTCTGTTAAATTTTGCAATTCTTACTGGGGTGAGATTTCATAGTTGTTTTGATTTGCATCTCTCTAAGAGCTAGGGATTTTGAGCATTTCTTCATGTATTTGTTGGCCATCTGAATGTTTTCTTTGGTGAAGTGTTCATATTCTGTGCCCATTTTTCAATTGGGTTATTTACCTTTATCTTGTGGTAATCACGTATTTTATAAATTCTAGCTATAAGTCCCTTATCTGACATGTTATAACCAATCTGTGGCTTTCATTTTTACTCTGTTGGAGAAGTTTTTTGATGTGCATAGGGATTTGATTCTTCGAAGGTCCCATTAATCTATTTTATTCTCTCCTGGTTGTAGATTTTTCAGGATGCTTGGAAGACTGTTTATGTTGTGGATTAGGACTTCCAGAGCTCTTCCAAGCTTTTCTTTAATAAAATATATAGTCCTTGGTCTTAGTCTAGGTCCATAATCCATTTTGAGTTGGATTTTGTGTATGGAGTGAGGTGGCTATCTTGCTTGAGTTTTCTACAGGTAGTTTTCCAATTTTACAGCACCATTTGTTAAGAAGATTGTAATTTCCCCACTTAACTGATTTCATCTCTTTGTCAAAAATCAATTGACCATAGGTAGATGGGCTGATTTTTTGGATTTTCTATTCTATTCCATTGATCTATGTGTCTGTGATTTCTCCTTTTGTCTCAGGCTCCAAGGAGGCTCAGCTCAGGGTTGTTATTGGTCTTGTTTTATAATACTTTCCATTTTTTAAAATATTACATTCCAATAGATGAGCTGTGGGAGGATATCAAGAATATCATCCAGGAAGAGTGCAAAAGGCCATTTACAAAAGACAGAGGAGGAAGACAAGACCAAAACAGATGCCAGAAGAGACACTGAATATTGTACGAGAGTGCTGAGAAGCCAAGGCAGAGGAAGAAATCAAGATATTAAAGAGTTGAACAGAAGATTTCAAAGGGCACCGTGGGAAGACAAAGTATTCCAATGAAATGCTCAAGGACCTGGAGTCAGAAAATCAAAGGGGCCGAACTTGCTGAGCATTTCTTAAGCTGAAGGAACTGAAGAACAAATTCAAGCCTTGAGTTCCAATACTTCAGGATTCTCTGGGCAGAATATGAAATGATCCAGGAAGCATTAAAAGAAGATGGAAAGAGTAAACAGAGTCATTGTACTGAAAGGAATTGGCGGACACAGAAGAATTTCATGAAACAACGTATAAGTTTCTCGGTGGGCTGAAGGCGTCTGTTGATTTCTAAGAAATCTCTGTGCCATCAGAACATCAGCATTGTGCCTCAGATGACAGGCAGCCTATCAGAAAACCTCAACTCTGTGGATGGGCATGGGCCTAATCTCCCAGCACTCAGGCAGTAACCCTGGGGCAGAGAAAACAATTTCCCCAACCCCTCAGTCACCCTATATCTCAGGAGAACGGCAGCGAGCAGCTCTCTCCTGAGACCAGGCATGGCTGAAGCATGGCCTCATGAGGAGATAAACCAGAACACTTTGATTTTCTTTTTCATTGTACCCTAGTTCTATCTAAGTCAGTTAAAAGTAGATGATATTGAGTACTGATTCCCAAATGCCCCTCTATGTTGGTGAGATCAGCTTTTGCCCATTCTGAGCCTCAATTTTCCATCAGAGACAACAGGGTAAATGTATCCCCTGCTGGCATGGAGCACTGATATAACAAGAGCCAAGGTATGACACTACTGGATACATGAGGTCATAGCCACTCTCATCTCTATGACTTCAAAGGTAATAAGGAGGAACTGCCTTGAAACAACAGAAACACGATTGTTCTGAGAACAATCTGAAACATGATTGTCCCTATCCTCGGATACCAGAGGACTGTCAGCTCTGTAGAACTCACCTCAAATCCTTCTTCATGGAGTTGAGCTGTCCCTGCAGCTGCTCGTTCACATCCATCTGCTCCTCCAGCTCCCTTTGCAGCTTCTTCTTGGAACTTTCCAGTCTGTCAATCTCCTCCTCGGCCTCTTCCACCTGCCGCTTCATCGCTTTCAAGCGTAGGCTCAGCTGCAGTGTGAGAGAGGGTGAGTTGAGTGCAGAGGTGGAGAATAGTCCTGCTTGGAGATCCCAGTGGGCCAGCCACCCTCTCTCCAGGCAACCAAAATATGACAATAGGCAATAAGTTTCACAGGAAACATGGATTTAGGGTCCCCAAGACAGACAAATCTCTTTATAAGTCAAGTTCAGGATGTGAAGTTTGCTGAAATCCCCTATTCAAATAGGCTAGAAAGCTCCCTACTCTCCCAATTCTGTGATGTAACTAAGTAGAAAAGCATAAAGAAAGGTCTTAGGATGTCATAACTCTTGTACCTGCTAGATACAGCTCTTCCTTTCTTTGGCATCCCCAGCTTGAGACAAAATCTCAGCTGAGAATGAACTTGCAGAGAGCAGCCTCACCTGGTCCTTCTGGTCAGTCAGTGACAGGTGCTCGTCATCTACCTGCATCACCAGCTCCTTCACTTTCCTCTCCAGCCTTCGGTTGCTGAGCTGGAGGTTGGCACGGTCCCTGGAAGAGCAGAGGAAACAAACCCAAGAACTCTCTCATTCCCAAGCACAGAAGGGCCAGGCCCAGGCTGGGAAGGAGATACAGCCCCAGCCAGGAGTGACTTTAAACTCAGGCTTAGTATCAGAGAAAGACACATGAAGAACACGGCTCCAAGAAGGGAAGTGACTTGCCACAGTCACTAAGCGGCAGAGCAGCTGAGCTGGCAGAGAAACTCCCCCAGGTTCTTCCAATCCTCAGCTGCACTTGAAAGGCAGCAGGTCACAGACGGCCAACTAGGAAATTTTGAGTCAACTCCAGGCTGCTCCAGTCCAGCCCCCTAAAACCCACTGCCAGTATGATTCTGGCCCACAGTAATCCTATATGACAGAGGAGAACTGCTCTTATGGTTTTCAAGGCTGTAAATCTTTACACAGCAGGTTGGTTATCTCAGCTTTGTCCCACACAGTGACTGGTGGGTTTGAACTACCAACCTTTTGATTAGCAGCTGAATGCTTTTAAGTAACCACAATGCCACTACTGCTCCTTGGCTTCCTAAATGCTCTACAAAAAACAATGCACATTTTCTCTCTCTTTCTCTCTCTCTCTCTCACACACACACTCTGCCGTTAATAAGAACCTAAGCAGAGCCAAGTTCACTTGAATACTGGCTCTCAGACTATATGTGGTTTGAGAGACAATGACAGAGAATTTAAGAGGCTCTGGTGACATAGTGGTTGAAGCACTCGACAGCTAACTGAAAGGCCTGCTTCAACTCATCAGCTGTTCTTTGGGAGGGCAATGTGGCAGCCTGCTTCTGTAAAAAAAAATTCGTCTCAGAAATCCTCTGGGGTAGTTTGAATCTGTCCAACTGGCTCTCCATGAAGAACAATCTATTTGACAGCAACTGGTGGTTAGTGGATTTTTGTTAATCTATTTGGTTGGCTTTTGCAAAGAACAGAAAGTTTGGAAGAGAATGTGGTCATCAGATCTCATATGCCTCCTACCACTGTGGGCAGACCTCCCTCAAGTCTAAATACTTTGTCACTTGGCCTCTGAATATTAAGTGGTCATGAAGGGAGAGTCTGTATCTTCATCTTTAAAGCAAAAAGCACCATCACAGAACAATAAGCCAGCTGAAATTCAGCAGCCTGTACTATTTATGAGGTCAGCCAAGTACAGTGGAAACGCTGTGGACCTAAGAGTAGGGTTTCCAGTTACATCAATATTCAATCAGGCCATCGCACTCAAGTCCTTTGCTCTGATGCACCTCAGTTTTCTAATCTGTAAAATGGGAACAATAACAGCACGCTTGTGCATGGTCTGCGTTCCTCACAAGTTTATGAGGATCAGAAGACACTAAATTGAGTCCACTCCGTAACGTACAAACTGGGTGGTACAAACTGTTCACACTGCCTGCGAGGGCCTCTGCAGGTGGATGGGCTCACCTCTCCTCATTCTCCAATCGGTCCTCCAGCTCTGCAATCCTGGCTTCCATCTGGGCCACCAGCCCCTCCTTGCTGGACCTGTAGGAACCTTCCAGGTGGATAATCCGGCTCTTTAAGTCCTTGTTCTGGAATGGGACAGGGAAACTGTGAGGGCTGCATCCCATCCAAGCTCTCTGTAGAGCAAGGCAGAGCACAGGGTGGAGGCAGGCGCTTGGTGAGAGCTTCAGCACTCAGCTTTCCACACCTGGCTGCACACACGGCCAAGGGACCCTGGGGCACCCAAGCATGTTTCTAGGGAAAGACCTTGAGCTCAGGTCCTAGCAGGTCAAAGGAGACAGTAGGTGATATTCCACTATAAACCTGAACAAATGCTTGGTATGCCCAAACGCTCCAAACACACCCACTTAAAGTCAAGTGGGCTTGTCTTGTCCTTTTTTTAAATCTACTGGGGATAAGGGGTGGGGCAGGAGAAAGGATCTGTCAATCATTCTTATTAGGTAAAGAATTTGCAGGAATATGTGTAAAAGATGTAATTTAATGACACTTTCTTGGCAATGTACATGTTTCATGTCATGGCACTGGTTTCTTTTGCATTCCCTTTACATTAGAACGCAGTCGTCTATGCAATTTACTGCCTCTGAAAACCTGCTGAGGTCTGCTGGGCTCGGTTCCAACTTGACGACACACAACAACATTAGAATGTATCCCAATTCAGGAGCTAGGAAACAGAATCTACAATGTTTTTACTCTTTAGACGGCAAATTTCTGGGTAGATTTAATATTATTGGGGAAAACCTGTCTAGAAAGGTCCCAAGCACACCTCTATCCTTCAGGTGAGTTAGATCCAGTGTCTGAGGTCTAAGTAAAGGTGATACATCAAAGGGGTCCAGTGCGAAACCATATGGACAGGTGAGGGGCTCAGGGCCCAGCTGTCCTCACCTGCCTCTCCAGCGAAATCTTGTCACATTCCAAGTCTTGCCTCGCGGCTTTCTCCTGAAGTAGCTCATTCCTCATTTGCTCGATCTACAATATAAGAAAAGCACAAACTCAGAGGTCTCATATCATTTGTGCTAAACTGAAGTCCAGCAACCAAGTTAGCTCGAGTCCTCTTCAAGAAAAGGTCTCCTATGTCAGTCCTTGGGTACTTACTCATTTCTTGGATATTCTAGGTTTCTTGATGATAATGATATAGAAATAATAATAGTGTAAGAGAACATGGCTAAGCACTCAAATGAGCTATAATGTGTCCCTAGAGGAGCCCTATGAAGTCCTCGTGCCATCGAGTCACATCTAACTCATAGTAACCCTCCACCAGGTTTCCAAGGCTATAAATCTTTAGAGGAGGATACTGCTCATCTTTCCCTTGAAGAGCTGAGGGGGGATTCAAACCACTGACCTTTCAGTTAGTACCCTATACCAGCAAGACTCCTTGCCTATGAAGTGTTATTGTTATGGACTGTCAAGTTGGAACTGACGCATAGCCGACCCTCCAATGGGTTTGCAGAGGCTATAAATCTCATGGGACGAGACTGCCCATCTTTCTCCCAGCTGGGGGATTCGAACTACATCCCTTTGTGTCGGCAGTACAATTCCTTACCACTAAGCCACTACAGCTACTTCCCTATATAGAGCAACCAATATAAATTTTGCCAAGGCTTGAGGAAATGAAGTTTACTCAATGCTGGCAAAGCTCTCAGGGATTTTCAGAACTGGGAAAGTTTTAGGAAGACCAGGGTAAGTTAATGAATCAGCTTGCCCAAGATCTACACAACAAACATTCATTCAAGCTTCTGACTGATAAATTCAAACTTCAGAAAAAGCTTCCATAGGCTGCTTATCTCTCAGATGTGGCCTAGATTTCTCTCTTCTTAAGCTGAGAACAGAAGTTAGCAAGATAACCCGGATGCTTCAGGAAACCTACACAGTATTGAGGGGTAGGAGTCTACGGGTGGTACAACTCATTCATATAGTCAGCCAGTATTTGAATTTGGAAAAAACATGAGCAGTCTTTTCCTGCTTTACAGCCTTGAAAACCCAACTAAGGACCAGCTAAAAGTCAGTTCTGACTCTATAGCAATGACTAGTATTACAGTTGCAGGTTTATGTCTACCCAGAAGAACCTTCGAAGAAAGGCCTGGCAATCTTCTTTGGAAAAATCGGTCATGAAAACCCTATGGAGTATAGTTCTGCTCTGACACGCTTGGTGTCACCGTGAGATGTAATCGATTTGGTAGGAATTGGGCTGTGCTCTTTTACGTTAACATGAAAATGAGACAACTGAGCAGTATCAGCAAAGACACACCACCTGCCGATCAGCATCTCCTTACCCTACTCCCGGTCTAAGTACCAGAAACAGAGGAACCAGACCCTGTTCTCAGAACTTACTTCCACAACTGTCCAGCAGAGGGCAGCATGACAAAACCAAGAGAATCAGAGGGTGAGCCATGAAAACCATTTATAAGGTTGAGATGGATTCAAATTCTGTTTGGGTAAATGGTTCAACACGAAGTCCCAGAAACTACAGTGTTATTAACTGAACTATGCCACCCAAATACATATGTTGAAGTCCTAATCTGTAAATAAGATCTTGTTCATAAATGGAATCTTTGAAGACATTATTTAGTAGACATGAGGTTAAGTATTGGGATCCCAAATCCAACATGACTGGCATTATCAGAAAAAGAGAGGAAGAAGACACAAAGACACAGAGAAACAGGGGAAATGGTCACGTGGAGACAGATTGGAGCGACACTGCTGGAAGCTGGGAGAATCATGAAGGATTCTCTCCCATAGCCTCCCAAGAGAGCACAGACTTCAAACCACCAGAACTACAACAGAATAAAGTTCTGTCATTTCAAACCACATAGTTTGCTGTTATTTGCTGTGGTAGTTTGTTGTTATTTACTGTGGCAGTTCTAGGAAACTAATACACAATACCTGAACATTTGTAAGTCTCAATCATCAACTTCAATTTTGACTACTTGTACAAGCACTGTCATTATGAAAACATTAGCTCATGTCCTCACTACTATCCCATAAAAAGCATTAACAGGGGTCCTGGGAATAAGAACAGCACAACCACACTGTACAAGCCTATTGTCTCTCCTAGTGCCCCAGTTACTTCACTATGGAATGTTCTGGAATGAACAATTTGATGTGGCTGAACCTAAGTAAGCAGTAGGAAGTGGTCAAGCACAAACTGGAGGGATGGGAAGGGCAATGAAAGGGGGATTCTGATACCACAGAAAGAAACTGGGACTCTGCCTCTTGGTGTGGGGGTGCCTGTGTGGTCAAAGAAAATGCCACTCCTCTCATATTTTGGACTGGCTGGCCTCTAAATCAAGTAGCCTCAGAATTTTACAGAGAGGAAACTGAAGCCCAGGGCAACTTTAACAAGTATCTGGAGAGAATGAGGCGGAGCCCAATTTGCTGCCCACTATTCCATCTGTCCCTTGTCTCTCTGAGCCAGCTATGTGAAAAGGCTTCCAACAGATGTAGGGTTCAAATACAGCCACGAGGTCAAAACCCAGACTTGAGGACCAGTCTCCTTAGGGCATCCTTGTGTTCAGCAAGGGAAAAATGCCAGCAATGCACAGGATCAACAGGCAGAACACATAAAACACAGCCCGCGGCCACTGTTCCCATCACTTGGCTTGGCCCCAAAGCCCTCGTTAATCACATATTGCAAAGAACAATTCCTGTAACTGCTGGGCGAGCACGCGTCTGTGGGTAATGAATGCGGGCTCACAGCCCCACTCCACACATGGTTTCCAAGCTAGCGGACAACAGCTCATGTTTGGAGGTCATCAGAACGCTGGGCCATGGGACCAGGGGATGAGCCTCCTGGGGGAAATCGTTCTGTTCCCACCCCAAAGGCAAAGGTCAGGGGTTCCACTTGGAACCTGGTTAAACTTTCACCAAGGTAGGAAGCAACTGAACAGACAAACAGCAGTGGGTGGGGTTCTCTTCTTGGTTCTGCTGTTACCTTGCACATGACCTTGACCATCTTACTTCTGGAGTACAATCTCCTTAATTCTGAAATAAGGAGGATGAATCAGACATCCACAAAGGGTACTAAGAATTGTGTGGGGCTCTTTCTAAGGAAGCCAGAGGCCCTTCCCTCAGTCCTTGGGTAGACACCCTATCTCCCTACCTCTCCGGATCTTTAAGGAGTGTTCCTCCAAATGAACCCCCACCCCTTATCAAGCTGAGAGAGGGTGCATGTTGCTGAAGGTAAGTGGTCAGGACTTCATTAACTAGGATCTGTGACCAAAAAAAGACTGCCACAGTATCTGCCCTCATTACAGCCTCAGGGGGGCAAAGGAACATGCACTGTGCATGGCAAGGGCCCATGGGAGTGGTTACAGTACACACGGGAGAGTCAATGAGGCCTCTAGAAAAAAAGAGAGACCAAACTGGGACCTAAAGAGGAAGATAGGAAGTTGGGTTTGCCAGGAGAACAGTGAGATAGAAATGTGCCATTTCAGACGCAGGGACCATCAAGAAGAAAGATAGGGGCCATCACCAGAAGGCTGTGGAGGTAAACAGAAGGAATTTATAATGCCAAACTCCAGCACCTGTGAGAAATCATGAAACACAGAGGCATTACAGATGATAGACAATAAGGAAGCAGGACAACAGACTAGTTATCCAGCAGGGGAGGGGCAGGAGGGGACTCAGGTCCCAGCATGAGAGTAGTAGATTCGGGGAAATTTCATTCTCTGAGCCTGGGAGGAAAGGGGAAAAAGAAAAATACAAAACAACCCAGGGCTTTGAAGGAGGCAGACTCCCACAGCTCAGGAGGCGAGAGAGAAAGTAGAGAAGGAGAGAGGGATGAGAGATGATTTGCTCAAAGGTAACTAGATAAAGAAGAAATGGAGGCCCAAAGAGAAAGAAATCTAGAAATGTAGTTACTACGAGGAATAAGAAACAATAAAAAAAAGTGAAAGGCCGGCAGAACAGCAGCAAGAGTCCTGTTGCAGATGGACAGCACGTGCCTTTAGTGGGCCCGGTGGTGACTTGAGTTCTGAAACTCCAGGCCTGAGAACATGGGCACTGAGTAACCAAGAATGAATCCTCTGAGGTACGTCACTGTGGGCTGGAAGCAGCTTTGGGATTTCTAACCGAAAACCATACTCTCCCCCTCTCCCAAGTGCCTCTCACCCAAACCTGTGGGACCAAATTCTTTTAATGTAGGTAAAACCCTTCCTGGAGGGAAATGTTACCGATAGGGACTTACGAGCCAGAAAGAAAGACACATCTGTATGCAGTGAGGCACCTTAAGCACCATGGAGGGATTCAAGGACTGCTAAGCAGCCAGACGGCACTGCGTCTCAGCACAGCACAAGCTCTGAAACTTAAAGCAGTGGCCACTGACCGAACTCTTACTCCCTAGCTGTCCTGACTGGAAAGTCTGGAGCCCTCCAGGGACAGGCCTCCTGTGCAGAGAGGCACTCAGGAAGACCAGAGCCTTGAGCAGCTCCACTGGCCTGTGTGCCCCAAGACCCCTGGACAAGCAGTGGCACTCAAAAGAAAGACCGCCGCTGATTATTTGTACCACATTACATCTTCTTAAAAGATGGTCGTTAAAAACAGAAATGCAAAATAAATCAGATGAACAGGAAGAGGCTTCATAGTCCCCGTCACCAGGCAGCCAGTTCTCCCTAAGCCTTTTAAAAACTAAGGTAAAGCCAAACAAAGTGGGTTTCCTACTTCTCATGATACAATAAAAATTAAAAAAAATCTTAGTTCTTCAAAAAAAGAAAGAAAGAGTCTTAGACTAATATTATGCTCTAAGATAAACCCACCTAGTGCAGCTTTAGACAGGGAACACTATAAGTGGTCAATGGACATGCTTCTAAAGTGAAGTTGCAATCTTTTTTTTTTTAATTTAGTTTGTTTATTTTTCATTTCAGTGAACATCTACAGAGATTTTGGAATTCCATTCATTCATTGTTGCACCCTTCTCCCAGCACACCC